CGCTAAAACAAGGTCGCGACTCGCGCCTCGCAGCCTGGGTCGCCGAGGTACAGTGGGGGTCCTGAAGAAGGAACCCTTCTCGTTGGGGAGGGGCTCCGTGTTCCTTGATTGTTTCACAGCTTGCCTCAGGTTTTCCTAAGGTTTTCGATGGGGAATCGAAGTTTCACTTATGGGAAAGGTGGGGCCTCGTTCCTTATTTAGGGTTCCTCAGGTCAACGCCCCGACTGTATGTTTGTTTGCGTGTTCTCCAGGGCGGCGCACCGTGGGACGCGAAGGGCGAGGGGAGGTGGCCCCGGGCCGTTCGGTGGCACGTGGGAGGCTCGTCTGTCCTCGCGGTTGCGTCATTCGAGAGCATTGGCATGCGGCCGCGTTTGGTCATAGATGGGGGACGCGACGATGAGCGTCGATGCAGCGCCGAAGGACGTCGATTGGCAGAAGAGCCGGCAGGGTGGCATGGGAGGCTCCCGCGAGTTGCCACAGAGGGGTAGTTTCTGTGCTCGCCCTCGAGAGGGCCGCTCGGTGCCGGAGGGCGCGGGGCGTGCGGCTCTGTGGGCTCCGCGGGGCGCATCGGCGGCGGGCGCGGCGCCCGAGCTGGGCGCACAGTTTTCGGCAAAAGGGCGGCCGGGGGGTCACCACCAGCGACGCACATTCAGAGCCCCGAATCATCAGGGGTAACTCGGGTCAGGGCTAACTCGGGTTCCTTTTTCGGGAATCCAAACCCGAGTTACCCCGGACCCGAGTTACCCCGGATAACTCGGGCGCCCAACACATGTCCATATCCGCGCCCCCGCGGTCTGCATTCCTCGAAGGAGAGCCATCTGCATGAACATCATTGTTTGGCGCTCCGCGCGGAGTTCTTGGATCCGCGCGGAGCGCCAGAAGTGAAACTTTACGCCGTTTGTTCTTCTGATGTCAGCATCCGCGCCCTCGCTGTCTGTACTCTTGGGCGCGATCCCGCGGATTACGCGGTCGCACGGAGACGTGCCGTGCGGGTTCATCCGCGAAAAAACTTGCCGCGCATCCGCGAGAAAGGAGGTTTCACGACAATCGATGTTTGTTTCGTTTGGTTCGGTTCTTACACCAAGCGTTTCTAGCATCACCTTCGACAACATCATAGGCAACATGATGATGATCATCATCATCATCGTCATCCCTCCTCCTCATCATCATCAATATCACCCAGGTGGGCTATTCAGCTCGCTGCAACAACAACTTCTGGTATACGTTTGAAGCAACACGTCAACAAACATAGGTTGGGCGTCGTGCTCCCTGTGCGGTGATAGTGTAAACAAAGGTCGGCTCCATGCTTGCACTGCGGCGAAAAAACGTGAAACCTGGGCAACATGATCACCGTGATGTAACTACGTCGCAAGGTGGGCATGACCAGTTCCTGGGAGCAAGGTATAGGCGCCATGCTGTTTTGGCCCTGGCCCAGCAATAGTCAACAAGACGTGGGCATCATGCTCACCTCATGCTGTCGCGTAGCCAGCTTGGTTCGAGTTGTTTGTTCCGATGAACGGCGAAGAGGGCCTCCTAAGCAACGCAAGCCTTCCCCAAAGTGAAGAGAAGTCTCTGCCATGTAGTGTTGGAGTGCGCACACAAACCGACGGCGACGATGAAGCTGGTGAACCCCACGGCGTCGTAGATGCAAGGTGGGGCGACAACGAGGATGCAGGTGCGGAATCTCTCCCATAACAAGAATGCGAATCGCTCTTGGGAGGCTGATGCGCTGAAGGAGGCAAAGGGCACGTCGAGGGCCAACAGGCAGCAGAGTTACAACAATGGAGGCACATGAAAACTACATTGTCCAATGACGAGGTCTATGAACTTGTGTTCCAACAGTTGGTCCGCATGCAAATGATCGACGGGGCGGTATCAGGAAGCCACCAACGTTACAAAGTTCAACTTCTTGGGCTCACGGTGTGCCGACTTCTTTCCCGCGAGGTTTCCGGTATTGGCAATTCTCGTCTGGTTATATTGATGAAGTGACAAAAAAAGGCACGTTCGACCACCTCGTGACCTTCGCCACAGTACAGTACACGGACGGGGGCAAGCTACGGTTGCGTGCAAGACGATGCTACAATGGGCACGTGACGTCTTGGTTGAACGTTTGAATCTGTGCGGCCAGCTAGCACCATTGTTGATTATCCTGTCCCAGAACTTGCAAGAATAATGGACGATGCGCAATCCGACCCGTCCTTCTGCGCATTGCCAAATCTGGATGGCTACCACGAGTGGATCCACGGACCGGGCGCGACGTTGCCAGCCATTGCCGCTGACGCGGGTGAAGTGCGTTGGTTGCCTCCGATGGCACTGGTTGACCTGTGGCATCTTCTGTTGTCACACGATTTTGGTCTGCGCTCGCATCCGAGCTACATATCGTGCACCAGGGTGCACAACGAGCGGTGGCACCATTGCCTTTGCATTCGGCCAAAGATCCTTCAGTTCAAATGCGACATGCGTGAACGCCTCAAGGCCTTAAGGAAGGCAGCTACATCATCTGAGACGGCAGAGGCGGTGCGAGCAGAAAACCTCGCCCACGTGAAAGGGGCGATCCAGGACCGGTCAGTCGACGAGCGCATCCAGAGCGCAGCTCGGGAGGCCACCACGATGCCTGGCGGCGCGGCTCGCTCGCGATATATCCTGAATGTAGACGCCGACGCCACGGAGGAAATGAAGTTCATGCGCCCGAGAAACATCTCGGCTCAAAACGATGGCGGCGTTGTGGAGACCACAATAACAGATGGTCGGAAGCATCGTTGATGGCATCGCAGACTGCTGCTGGCTGGCGCCACCCGACATTGTGCAGAATTCAAACCTGTCGGCCACGATGGTGGCCGATCTTTTGCAGCACGCAGCAGGTGTTCTTGAGCATCGCGAGGTTCATTGCCGACGCGTGTGCGCGTCCACTCCGACACCGCCAGAGGTGAGGTCAAGAACCAGACATTCATGAAGTTCCTGGCGTTCCTGTCACACAGAGAACACTTCGACTGCGCAGAGATGACGCAATTTCAACCTGGACATAGCCGCGGCCGCATTGATCAAACTTTCAGCGCCATCGGGGCGGCGCTCAATAAGGGTGCGGCGCTGGAGACGCCGAGTAACTTCAAAGCCCGCATGGAAAACGCGGGTGGGGGTGGAAACCGCCCCCTGCGAGTTTTTCCGGTGTGCGCAGTGTACGTTTGGGAATCTGTTTTGGGATCCCTTTCATGTCGCCCCAGAGCTCGGAGGCTTGCCACGTGTTCAGATTTGTCCGCCGCGACCGCATGCGCGATCTCCCCGCCGATCTGAGCTCGGCCACCACGCAGCCCAAGTCTGGCTTCCCAGAGCTACCCGCCGAGGGCGACATCATCTTTGGCACCAGGCACTACGTCGGCCCCCAGACGTGCTCAAGTGCCAGATGTCTTCAGCCCTGGATCCTGCATGCGCGCCCATGAACCAGGAGGCCCCGGTGCTGCCTCGGGGCGCGCGCAGCTCTCAGACCGCCAGGTCAAAGAGTTTTGGAAAACAGCTGCGACGCTGGCCCGGCCGCCGTGGAACATGCATCGCGCAAATGAGTGGCTGACCGACCTGGTAGAGAATAACACCAAAGGCTGCGCTGAGAATTGGGTGCCCCCCCGCGATTGACCATCTCGCGATGGCGGCCACCAAGGGGCCCTTTGTCCCGCGCCATCCAGCAAGTGAGGCGCCTGCAGCGGCAGCCCCTGTTCGGATGGAGGACGATGCCCCGCAGAAGGAGAAGATCCGCATTGCAGGGAAGCGTACCCCGGCCAAGCGCTTCCTCCTCCCGGCGGAATCGCAACGTTGCGTCTCCCTCGATGGCACAAGGACTCCCCGGCGTCCCGCTGGAGCTGGCCAGCGAGGCAGGGGCTCCACCGAACGCGATTGCCCCACCAGCGGCGCCACGTGCGCTTCTCCCACCAATCGCGATGGCCCGACCAGCGGCGGCACGAGCGCCTCGAGTGATTTCAGGGAGAAGGAAGCGACATCTGCTCGCCATACTTGATGAACCGAGCATCGGATGCTCTGAGTGCCGCCGCGCTGTTGGGGGCTGCGCAGAGCGCCGCGCTCGTAGGGATGTTTGGCGTTTCGCGCATGGCACGTGATGCAGACATCTGGCCTCGCACGCGTGCGATTACCCAAGCGGCTTGCGCCATCCCGCCGACGCCAGAAGAGAGTAGTGCATGATCGCCGAAATCATTCGGGGCATTGGGGCTTGTATTTCGGTTTTCTCGGGGCCATGCTGGCTCTCATGGGGCCTTTGGAGCTGGGCGGTCTATGTCGGGCGGTTTTGTTGGCCCGGTGGGCGCGATGTTTAGTTCGCAGCCAGTTTCTCGGACAGGATTCGGGGTTCCGGAAACGTATAGATTAGCGGGGAGGGTTGGGGCTGAGCGTGTCGCGCGCGGTCTTACCCTTACAAACGTGGGTAGGCCCTCTCAGCGTCTATGTTTGTGGGGGGCCTTTGGGCAAGGCTCAAGAAAGGCTGCGAGGGGGCAATCGTCCAGCGTTCTGGGAGCCGCTTCGGAGCGTTGTCGGGGTCTCGTGACGGCCGCTAGGGGGCGTCCACGGAGTATGGAGATGCAGTGAGGGTGTGCAGCGTTCGTGGAAGGAGTGAAGCTGGTCAAGAGGCGCGGGGATGCATGCGCGGGGCTCTTGGGATATTTTTTCAGGGGCATCTTGGAGGGCTCATCGTGGCAATTGGGAGGTTTTTGGAGCCTCTTGGGGGCCTCGTATGGGGCTTCTTTGAGGCCTCTTGGCGGCTCTTGGGGGAGCCTCGGGGGCCTTTAGGGGGCGTGGGTTCGTCTTGGGGGGACCGGCTCGAATTATCAGTTCGTTTTTGTTCTGTTGGGTCACTCGTGGGGCCCAAGAGGCCATCTTTTGGGCCGTATTTGGGGCCTAGGCCGTCTTCGGGCCATCTTGAGCCGTCTTGGGGCTTTCTTGAGAGCTTCGTGGCCCGTCTTGGGACGGTCTACGGGGCCCTTTTTGCCGTCTTGGACGCTATCAAAACGAAAAAGGGCGAGCATGCTGAAATTCCAAATCTTCCAAAGGATTCACATTTCTCAAGGGGATGGGGCAATGTTTGCTGATAGGGCTTCTGGCGGTTCTCTGGAAGCACTCTTGGGCCGTCCTGGGGGCTTCGTGGACCGTCTCGAAGCCATCTTGGACCGTCGTGGGGCTACGCTGGGCCGTCTTGACGCTCAGCGGGACTGTCCTAGCGCACTGTGTGAATCCTCGTGGGCTGTGGGGGGGGGGTCCTTGGAGACCTCGGTGAGCCCAGGGGGGCATCGGGGAGCCCGGAGATCCCCCTTTGATGTGACCTTGGACCGTGTGGACGAGGGAACGGGGGTCGGCGGACTGAACCCTGCATTGCTCGAGGCCTGCCCGCGAGCATATAATTACGAGGGCTGCCCTGCGAGCCCTCGTCACCTTTGCACCTGGCGGTCGGTCCTCTAGGTCTGCCAGCCTGGATGCGTCAGCGCCCGCCCCACCCACAGGCCAGGAAGCTAGTGGCCACTGAGTGCAGAGGGCTCTAGGCCTCCCAGATGGGGTTCGAGTAGATGGGGCCGGAGGATCGCGCCACATCGCCGATGCCTCGCCGATGCATCGCCGATGCATCACTGATGCGGCTCGATGTTGAGCCTGGTGTTCTCCACGCCGACGGCGCCAATTCATCGCCGACGTCGCCAACGCATCGCCGATGCATCGGCGATGTATCGCGATCTCCAGACTCCATCTACTCGGACCACATCTAGGGGACCTCTATGAATGCAGAGGGCCCTCCAGCAGAATGCTTGCGAAGCAGCTGCATACAAATCCACTCTTGGCTGCCCTGGACCATCCTGGCTGGCCCGGCGCCGATCCACGAGATCCGCGGGGACATCCAGCAGGTATGTTTATGCCGCTGTTTGTCCATCTGCTCTGGCAGTACGCCGTGGGCCGTATGCAGCACAGTGCCCCCAACCCTAGGGGAAGCCATAAACAGTTTTGATCCTCACAGGTTGAGTTCCGGAGCGTCCGCACCGTTCGCTTTCTTGGCGCACGGCAGTGTGAAGGAATCTTTATTCCAGTGGGTGGTCCCAAAGCTTTCTGATTGGTCGCATCAAGTCTGCGTTGTATATATTCATGCCCCTCTGCTGCTCGTCGCTTTTTTCCACCCCTCCCCCCTCCCGTTGTGACCCCACCACGCTGCTCTCTGAATTCTCATTCCTTCCTCCCAGTGCTCCCCTAGCTAACTATCCCAATATATCCCTCTTGACGTTACTTTCGCAACCCTTCTTCCTGTTTTCTTCGCTCAGTCGGCTTGAACTGCCCCTGCTTGTTTCGGCTCATCGCCGGCGTCCCACCCTCCCTGTCCTTGGTCCAGATTTTCACTCGCATCACATAGCAGCGCCCTGCACTCACAGCCACACCGCGCTTCCCTGCGGACCACGTCAACGCCACCATAGTTAACTTCCTGCACTCCCTCCTCGCCCGTTCGTCTCCCTTCCTCCTCTCACCTCAGTCCCCGTCGTCCCCCCTTCCCCCCACTGGCGTCATTTTTTCCAGCGCCATGCCACGGCATGGTTTTCGGTCCTTCCAAAGAGGTCTCAAAATCTAGAAAATGGCCCCCGACAAAAACCATAGGAAGTCATTACACATTCGGTATCTTGGGCCGCAGAAGCCCCCCACTTTGGGGCGTCGCCACGCCATTGTATGTCAGGCTACGCGTTGATCTTCAACACCATGCTACGCCATGTAATGCTATGTCCCGCTGCGACATCCGACTGTGCGAATAGAGAGGAAATCTACGCCATGGTAAGGGATGGGAGGGAGGGGTAGGATATCAGATATGACGCGAGCGCACCTAGCTCGCCCCCCCCCCTTCTCCCTCCCCCCGTCCTCCCTCCTCCCTCCCCCCCCACCCCTCGTTCTCCCCCCCCCCTCCCCCTTCGCCCTCTCGGCGCCCCCCGCCCCCCCAACGCCTCCCCGCCCCGCCTCTCCCCGCCCTCCCCAGCGCGCGCGCCCGCCCCGGATCTGCGGCGCCGAGGGCGCGCGCTGGCGGGAGGCGGTGGCCTTGCTCGCCTCCTCGCGGCGCCAGGCCAGGCCGCGGGGGGGGGGGGGTGCGGCGGGGAGGGGGGCGACCACTGCTCTTAAGTCGGGGCACGTCCCTCTACAGAAGGAATTTTTAAACATAGTCAGAAAATAGTCTGGGGACGATGCTTTGACTATCTTTGGCTGTGTTTGAGTATTTTTGGACTGTTCCTGATTTTTCTTTCAAATCCGCCTGTAGAAGCCGAACACTGCTCGTTGGACCACTGATGGATGGTGCGTGGGTCCACCATCGAAGAGAAAACAACGCCACAAACATAAAACTCTTGGCGCTCCGCGCTGATCTCTTGGATCCGCGCTGGGCCCCCCCAGCGGCGCCTCCGGCACCGCCCTTGGCGCGCTCTGCGCGCAGGGGAGGGGGGTTCTAGCGCACATCCAAGAAATCCGCGCGGAGCGCCAACAGCTTATGTTTATGGCGTTGTCTCCTTCTTCTGCACCAGGAAGGCGGGGGGCGCGCCCCGCGAAGCTCCGCCGTGCCTGGAGGCCTTGGGGCCGCATCGCCAGGGCGTCGGGCAGTGGTGCGCCCAAATCTCCTCGTGTGATGTGAGGGGCAGAAGATGGGCGACGCAGACAAACTGGGTCGTCTGCGCTGGCATTCGCGCACAAGCTACCCGCGTAGGGTCGCGCGTGAGCGCCCTCGCTGTCGACTCGGCGTGCCGCGCTGGCGGCTCGCGTAAGCCAACGCGGGAGCCACCGCATGAGGTCGCCGTGCCATCTCGCACAAGACCAGTTGCTTTTCGTCTCTCAGGTGACCCCAGCTTCCACATGGAGGCGCTGGGCTTGGGGAGCACCCCTCACCAGGCCCCCCCCAGAGGCCCCCGTGTTGGTGCGAGAAGCCGGGAACACGTTGGGCCAGGATCAGGTCTAGCACGACCTTTGGAGGGAGGGGAGGAGGGGAGATACAGGAGGAGGCAGGGACACGGGGAGGAGCGAATGCGGGGGGAGGGGATGTTGGGCGGGGAGGCCTCCTTATCTCGAGGAAGTGCGCACATGGACTGGGGGGCGTGGGTTGGCGACGGGCTCCGTGCCCAAACAGGCCCGCCTGCTCCGTCGCCAGATCAGGCGGCACTGGCTTCATGCTTCGGGGGGTGCCTTCCCCGAGCCGTGGATCCCGCGCCCACGCGCAAGGGCCACGGATCAGTAATCCATCTTTCAGGAGGGAAAGAAACACACAGACACAATGAATCCTCGATCCCCCAGAAAATACGGGAAAATATGGGAAGTGGGCGGGAAAACAGAAACCCAGAAACTATAGGAAAATATGGGGAATGTTTTTATTTGTGTGTATTTATGTGTGTGTGTGTCCTTGGGCCCCTTCAATCTTCGCGTGCGCCCGACCATCCCGCATCTCTTCCTCGCGCGCGCACCCGCGCGCGTGCTGGCGGCCAGAGCTCGGCCTGCGGGCAGTCCGCAGCCGGCGCTTCGGCTCTTGGGGGGACGGGGGTCAGCCAGGACGCCGGATCCTGCAGGATCCTGCGAAGACCCCCTCTGGCTGACCCGGGTTAGCGAGCCGCTCGTGGCCGCGAGGCGGCCGCGCGTATTGGCTGACCCAGGTTTGCGAAGATTTGCGTTGCAGTTTTTTTCCTGTATTGCAGTTTTTGGTTTCCTGCTGACACGGGTCTGGATTGACCCGGTTCAGAGTATCCCCGAGAGGAGCAAGAGTCCATGATAATGATTCGCTCCCAGATGTTCAGGGTTTCCATGATGTCGTGACGTTCCACAGGGGCTGCAGAAACGAGGGCCGCTTGCATGATGGCAATCCGGAAACGCACCAAGAGCCAATCCTATCATGACATCACTCTCGCCCTATTGTCGGATCTCTCCACGGACCCTGGCCAGGCGGGGCTAGGACCAGGATAGATAGTTCCAGAACGTTCTGGAACGCTCTCGGGGCGCCCCAGATCGCTTTGGAACGGCCGCTGCGCCCGATGCGTCTTCCAGACACGCCAGTTGCCAGGCACCATATTTTACGCAGGATCCGAATTTATCCCGGTTCCTGCTTCGTGCTACCTGGGACTGTCTCAAATATATTCGGTGTGAGCATTTGGTCTTGGGGCGGGTCCCACGGTCCGGGACACGTTTCGTGGGGTTTGGGTTCTCTTCCCTGCCGCGTCGCACCCGCGTCTCCTTCGCCTCCCTCCTCTCCTTCTCCTTCTCTTGCGCACGCACCAGACAATCAGACACAAGCGAACAGGCTGTCACATGCGCGTGCAAAGAGCACGCGCACGCAGCACACACAGAACACATACTGCACACACAGCACACAAGCACACACTTAAGCCCTAGCAGACACACACACACACACACCACACAACGCTAGTAGACACCTGGCGCATTCAGCGCATTACACACAAGACGCACGCAGCACAAACACTGCAACCACGTTGAGACACACGTCCACATACAGCCGCACACGCATCACACACATACACCATATACGCCATACACAAGACATACGTGTAGGATTCGCAGGGCTTGGGAGGAGTGGCATTTTCTCGACACCACAGGGGGGCACAGCTGTTGTACGCTGGAGGTGGGGGCGCTACCCGTCGTACGCTCGCAAAGCGCGGAAGGCGGGATACTTTCTCGACGCCGCATTGGGGGGGCTGGAGGTGGGGGCGCTATCCGTAGTACGCTCGCACAGCGCGGCAGGCGTGGCAGTTTCTCAACGCCACAAGGGGGTGCCCTGGAGGTGGGGGGCACTACCCGTCGTACGCTCGCAAAGCGTGGCAGGCGTGGACTTTACCGAGACCACAGAAAGTGGGTGCGCAAAGGGTTGGAGCGCTATCCGCCGCACCCTCGCAAAGCATGGCAAGCGTGCCAGTTTCTCGTTTCTCTACACCGCAGGGGTTTCGCTGGAGGTGGGGGCACTACCCGTCGCACGCTCGAAAAAAAAACGTGGCAGGCGTAGCAGTTCCTCGACACCGCAGGGGTTGCGCTAGAGGTGGAGGCGCTATCCGTCGTACGCTCGCAAAGGGTGGCAGGAATGGGAATTGCTCGATGTTACAAGGGGTGCGATGTAGATCCGGGGCGCTAGTTATCCGTCGTGCGCCCGCAAAGAGTGGCCGGCGTGGTAGTTTCTCGACACCGCAGGGGTTGCGCTACGCTCGCAAAGCGTGGCAGGACAGGGAGCTTCTCGACGCCACAGGGGTAAGACGGACGTGGGGGCGCTATGCGTCGTACGCTCGCAAAGCGTGGCAGGCGTAGCACATTCTCGGCACCGCAGGGGTTTCGCTGGAGGTGGAGGCGCTATTCGTCGTACGCTTGCAAAGCGTGGCATGAGTGGCAGTTTCTACACGCCACAAGGGGTGCGATGTAGATGGGGGCGCTAGTTCTCCGTCGTCTGCTCGCATAGTGTGGCAGGCGTCGCAGTTTCTCGACACCGCAAGGGTTGCGCTGGAGGTGGGAGGCTATCCGTCGCTCGCTCGCAGCGCGTGGCAGGACTGGGATTTTCTCGACGCCGCAAGGGGGTGAGCTGGAGGTGGGGGCGCCATGCGTCGTACGCACGCAAAACGTGGCAGGAGTGGGAGCTTCTCAGCGCGACATTGGGGTTGCGCTGGGGGTGGGGGCGCTATGCGTCGTACGCTCGCGAAGCGTGGCAGGCGTGGCACTTTCGCGACACCGCAGGGGGCGCGGAACACTTTTGACGGAACGGTGCGCGTGCACTGCGTTTTTCCGCGCGCGTGGGCATGGAGGTGGGATGCACCGCCAATGCGTCCAAGAGCAAGAGCTTCATCCGGAAGCGGAAGGCCACCATCATTAGTTTAATGCTAGAAAGAAACGACAAGGACAGGTGCGACGGATACGCTCCAGGAGAGATGTCCCGCCCGCGCAATGCGCCCACCGGAATCTGGTTGCAGGCGCGCAAGTTCGAGAAGCAAAGCTCGGACGTTGCCGCCGCTCTCATCAACTCTTTTGGATTCCAGAGAGAGAAAGCGATCGGTCTGTTTTGCTTCCCGCTCATGGATGCGCGCGCGCAGTGCGCCGGCTTAACGGCATGGGCGCGCGCTCGCGCACGGGCGCATCTGGGCGCCATCGCTTCGCAGGGCCAGGCGATCTGCGCCGGGGTGACCGTCGACTGCGCGCAGGGCGCGGGCGTTGTCGGACCGGGGGACAGAGGGGATAACTGGCGGCGTCACCTCTACGCGTTGCTCAGCAGAACCGCTTGCATGAGCGATATGCTCTTGCTTCGACCGCCGCCGAAGGGGGTCTTCCAGAAAGGCCCGCGCCCATCCGCGCTCAAAGCCCCCCGGAAGTTCGACGAGCACGTGGCCGAGGAGACGCTGGAGTCCGAGGTCCTCGCCCACGAGCGCCAGTGGATCTTGCCAGCGGCGTGAGGTCGTTGGAATTCACGAGCCCGCGCGCCTCTCAGTGGCCGTGGAGGCGGGCGGGGCCGCGCGCGCTCTGGGCGGCCCCAGCAGGGGGGCCCGCGCTGCTCTGGCGGAGCGGCGCGCCGGAGTCTTTCCGACGAAGGCAGCGCCGCCCGGCCGCGCGGGCGTCGCGGTGCTCGCGCCGCCCGCCAGTCTCGTTTTTAATGCCAGCCGCGGCCGAGATATTTTCCCTCGAAGGGCGCTCTCGCTGTCTTCATGCTGGCGGTTTATGATTGCTCGCCATTCGCTCGCGCGCGCAGCGCGGAGACTCTCCGTCGATGAGGCGCAGGGGGAGACGCGGGAATTGCCGATCTGCGGGGGGGGGGGCGGGGCGAGGGGGGGGAGTGCGATGGGGGGGGGGGGGGGGGGCGAGATCACTCTTGGCCGCTCCAGGAACGGCCCTCGGCCGCCACCTCGCATTCTGCCTTGCCGACGGGAACGGGGGGCGGGAGGTTCAGGGGGCGGCGCGTTGGATTGCAGCGCGCGACGGATTCTCATTGCGTCTGGATGCCACGCGCATGCAAAGCGATTGCGCGAGGATTAAAATATGCACGCGGGGTTCCTCGGTAGCGCAATGGAATGGGGGGGGCGCCCCTCGGCGCGCGACGCTAAACCAGGT